GGAAGGGGTGGAGGGGCATTCGGAGTGATGGCATCTGTCTTCCCAAGAAATCATTACGTCTGATGGAGCCCTGCTTCCCTGGAGATGGCTGAACACCTGCCTGCCCATGGGGAGTGGTGAATGGATTCCTTGTTCTGCTTTGCTTGTGTGCGCAGCTTTTGCTTTACCTGTCAAACTGTCTTTATCTCAAACCATGAGTTTCCCCACTTTTACTCTTCCAATTCTCTCCCACATCCCACCGTGGGGGAGTGAGCGAGTGACTGCGTGGTGCTTAGTTGCTGTCTGGGGTTAAACCACGACATCTGCTTATGATCTCCCTGAAATATCAGTATCACTTCACTGCTGAAACCTGAGACTTTCCTGAAGTTCATTAAAACAAAACCATCGATACCTATAGAACCTGAACATAAATCTTTTCAAAACTTTGTGTAAAGGTGGTTTTTAAAAATTCCTTGATTATTTAAGCATTATATTTTCATTCTATTTCAGTGCCAACTCTTTTAAAGTTAATAAACACAATTTATTTCTCGGGCAATTGACTTTAAATATTTCCAAAGGAACTCACTATTTCAGTAATGCGAGCAAGTTGTACAAATTGAACCTATAACAGCAAAGTTGCCATAAAGCTTCCAAAAACTTTCCTAGAAAATGACATCTTTAACATGCAGGCTATACCAAGTGTCTAGAGTATGCAAACATTTTCAGAAGCATGAGAAGGTGATATAAACAGATCTAACATTAATGAATTCTCCCAGCTTTTACATGTTGGGAAGTCAGAGACAATGAAGAGAAAGTAATCCAAGTTTCAGCCACAGGAGACTACTATGAGGCAGTACTAAGTGCTTCTGGCATTTTATAGGCATAGATCTTTGTGTAGGAGAAAGCTATGATACCGTCTTGGCTTACATATTTAGAATTGTCTCTTTCATTTATGCAACATTTTTACTTTTGGAACAGTTATGAACCACACATAGTTAAAAAAAACATTAGCTCCTACAGGGATCCTCCACCTGCTGAAGTCAGAAGAATACAGTGTGCCTTTGCTTTAGTCATGACGAAACTGTATGGCATATGTCATATTGGATTTCAGAGTGGATAGTTTGATGATCCCTCATGAAAAAGGAAACTGTGATTTAAGCTTGTAGAGAGTGACAGGAGTAGAGTAAATTTTGGTTTGAATCACCTACAAGAAGGACCTGCCTCTCTGAAGATTGCAGAGTTTGCACAGCAGCTGGGCTGAAGTTACAGTTAGGAAACAACTCACTGTTTTAGAATAAAGTTATTTTCATTCCAACACAGACTGCCCACATGGGGGAGTACAGTTATTCTGCAATGGCTCTGTTGGTCAATTTTCCTTGTGAAGTTACAGGTTTTATACAAACTTTCTGTTTTTCCAACAACTGTACTTTTTTGTGTGAATGATTCAATATATGGTTTAGCTTTTATGCAAGGAAAAAAGTATACAAGATGCTGTTCTTGGTAGTAATGTTGCTCTGGCTAAATGGGGTCATAACTTGCCGAGAAAAAAGGGTTGTAGAATCGGTATAGAGTTTTGTTTCCAGATGGATACTCATTTGCTTGTTACCCACATGGAAGTCTGTCTGCTCTGGGAGATCTCACTTTAGAGTACCAAAGTGCTACAGCAGCTCCACAGGAGAAACATCACTGTCTGTTACGTATCCTTATGCCAGCCATATCTGACCCTCATTGCTCCTAACAGTCTCCTCACTAGCAAACAGGCATTCTCCCTTTGCAGAAATCAGAGCACTACATCAGTCGGTAGATTATTGCCACGCTGGAAACCTGTCATTATCAAGTTCAAAGCCTTTTTCAGGCTTTTGCACCAAAGGCTAATTGCCTTCCCCACCCTGGGCTTTGCGTACAGCCAAGAGAGACAGCTTTTGGTTTCTCATCTCTCGGACCAGTGTGTCCAGTCAGCTTTGCAACCCAGAAGCATTACTTAGGCATTACTCCTAAGCATCTGCTTCTGCTTACTTCGAAAACCCCTATGAGCACTTATTTGAAAATGGACTGTAAATATTAATTTTCTTTGTGCTCTAGGCACTTCTGAAATGTCTAAGTTAATACTTCATGTAATGATTTGCCCTTGTTTTTCCAAGCAGATTTTATTCTGCTGCAGCAGAGCAATGTATATCACAAGAGGAGATAAAAGTCTGGGTTGATTTACAAGGTTGGTGACTGAAGAGCAGTGAGACAGAGAAAAAGCTGGAGCACTGTGATGAAAGAGCTCAGAACTTTCCATTCTTTATGATTTTTAACCAGGACAGTTAGGTTTTCTTGTTGAGTAAGTGCTTCTTTATTACATGCAAAAAGAACATTTTAAGGAGCAAAACCACAATGTGGTACTGAAGAAATGATTCTGAATACCTTCCTGTGATCCAGACATCTCCACTGAGAATGGAATAAGGCTTTTTTTTGTATCTGCCTAAAATGAATAAACATGCTGAGGAACAGCAAGGTAAAGTAAGAGAGATAAAGTAAGGTAAAATAATAGAAGGCAGGCGAGACTATCCAGAACTGGTAGGGAGCAGAAAATTATCAAAGCTGAGACAGAAATGAGTCCTGATCACAATGATCTTGCAGTGTAATGTACCTTAACTAAATAAATGCTCAGTCTTCACACTTTGGAAAGCAAGTTGCCTCTTTTCACAAAATATGCATCCACTTATTTCAGATCTGTTTCTCTGTAGAACTGAATTAGTTGAAATAAGCTGCTCATTTCAGAAGCTGGTGGAGAGTGGCCACGAAAGGCAATGGGGCCTGAGGCAGACATCATCACCAAAGCCATGTTTCCAGAGGAAATAACAATTTAATAAATAAGGTGTAAAATCTAGTATAAAATTAGTATGTTCAGGGACTGGACCATAGCCTCGGAGGTTTTCAAGACGCAGCTGAACGAAGTCATGAACAAACTGGTCTGACCTCACAGCTGGCCCTGCTTTGAGCAGGAGGTTAGACTAGATGACCTCCAGTGGATCCTTCCACTCTGAACGATTTTATGATTCTATACACAGTTCTCCATTTGCTTAAATCTGGCTGAATATCGCTCATCTTTATAGATGCAAATTGGATGGTATGACTGTTTTTAAATTATTGAAATTCCCATGTAGAGGCATAATCTTAGTTTGCTTTTCTGGATCCATGCTTTTCTTAAGGAATCGACTCCAGTTCCTGCTTTTGTTGCTAGTCAAACAAAGTCCAAACACAGCCTGCCTGAAATGACAGTCTTGCTACTGTCAGTAATAGGCTAATTAACAGCAATAAAACCGTTCAGTCTATCTGCTGCAGCTTGTCGAAGGCACAACCATGCTGCAGCGTGGAGCCAGCTGTTTTTGGGAAACAGTGCAGCCGTGCCTCACGGTAGGTTCATCTTTGATTGCAGTGTGATCTTCACAGGCAAAACAAAAAGCAGTATTTTTTTCATGCAAAAGTTAATTGAATAGAAATAGGTGTGCTGAGACTGTATATTTTTCAGCACTATGTTACTTGCCAGTTGTGAAGGGGCAGCCACAAATTCACCTAAATACATGGAAGGGAATAGAGTATGACTACCTGCCTGGTGTTGCTTCCTGTTAAAGGCAAAAGATAAAACTCTTTTAGTTCTCTACAGTGAATTTGTGCCTCAATGAGTGAAACAGATTTTCCAGCAATTCTGGAACTCAGGAAACTCAGTTCTTCAGAAACTACAGAAAATCGCAAAGGATCTCGAGGTTTGCCTGTTCTTCATAAGGGATCTGAACTTTACCATATAATTGAGTTTATCCAAACAGAAATGAGAACACTGGCCACAAAGCAACAGACCTTGCTCAAACCAAAGCCAACAGAAACTCAGTGCTACAACATTTATTAATGGAAGGAAAACCGAGCAATGCTTGAAAACAAGAAAATGGCTAAAGCAAGCAGGATCTGTTCATGCTTGCTTGGAACAGTTTTCTACAAGTATCCTTACTCTTGAAGATGTTTGATATGTTTTCTGTGACATGATTTTTTAGCTCTAATTCCACTAAAAAGAGTTTTTTGCAAGACAAACTGGGAACAGAGTGACTTTTCAAATTACTTACTACAGGAGTTGAAGCTTAAGAAAACTCAAAAGTGACCCCAAGTTCCTAACTTCATACCACATTCATCAGCTATTTATCATTTCTTCAACATGGTGTCAAATTATTGCCCTATTTTAGAATGCTAATAGCCTTTTCTCCTTTCATTATGCATCCATTTTACACATAATATTTCTGAACCACATCACTAGGGTTGAAAAACACAACAAGAGTAAATATCCGTTATGATACTGCACTTTGTGTCAGAGAACTGGTGCTAAATAAATTCATGCTATGAAGGTCAATGAAGATCAGTGAGTGAAGAACTTTTTGGAAAAGCTACAGCTGCAGAGTTTCCATTTTGCTGTCTGTGCTCCAGCTACTCCACAGAGTCTAAATCGCTTCTGCTACTGACTTGACTGTCCTCATCAACATGGCAGGGAGAGGCTGAGGAGACCTAATGTACACACTGAGTATAATGAGAGGTTAAAAGAGAAAAGACTCTGACTCCTTGGATGTGTCGATCTCCCTACTGTTAAAAGAACAAGTATGTCTTATAGTTACATTACCACCCTACATCTCCATGTGGTTAAATTATTTTTGATGAAGCCAGGGATATAGGGAGAAAATATTAATTTTATTATGATTTCTACTTCTTGTTCTCCTTCAAAAGGATTTTAAAGTAGGGTTAAGGAAATAGGAACAAAGGCTTAACTCCCAAAACAACTCTTTTGACTATTCTTGCCTAATTTCTTTGCTGATGTGAAATGGGACAATGATGTGTTGCTAGTCATCGCAACTGAGGCTTATGTTCATGTGAATGCATGAATATAAGACCTAAATATAACAACCCTTTGTGCTGCATAACCTATAGGCAATGTTTTTGGATATCCTTTGAGCACAGCTGCATACCCATGCGTAAAAGAAAATCCTTTTCTTTACCTTTGGAGTTTACTGCACCAGCTGCAGTTGAAACCAATCTGGGCAGTGACACAGGGACCACAGCTGGTAAACTGGAGACAAGCTGGGACGTAGATAAACAAACACAAATTATTACATTAGTCTCACAAATAAATCTCATAAAAAGCACAAAAGAAGGGTACATCTCAACAGGTTCACACATGTCCAAAATAAGACACTAAAACCAGCCTATTACAGGGCATTGCACAACTGTATGCACAAAGGTACATTTTATCTCTAGGATTCCATTTGGATTCCATTTGTAAATGTATTCCCACTTCCACATCTGTTCATTCAACTTCATTGCTAAATTTTCATTCTTTTGCTTAATATTAAGTATTTCCTTAAACCTCTTTCTTCCCTGGCTCCAGTGTTCCTTGGTGTTGCTAACATTCAGACACATGCAGACAATAAGACTGGAAGGAAAGTGTGCAAGAACTATAATTGGATTAGGAAAAAAAAAAAAGCTGTTTCCATTTTTTTTCACAGTAGTACAGCTTGCATCTTAAACCCAGAGATTTCTAAACAATGTAGTTTTACCTTGGACAAAAGAGGCAGATGAACTGCAAAATGTGTTTGAGGATATTCCTTTGTGATGTGATACACAATACACAGAAGAATTTGTATTTGCCTTACAAGCATGAAAACTGTTCTTTTTTTCTTGAGGAAACAAATTTAAAGGCAATAAAATCATTCTTCTGAAAAAATTATTTGGCACAAATTTCATTCCAAACCTATTGGGAGCTATATACCTATGAACTAACTTGAGATACATGAAGATGCACTGGATAATAAAACATCCATCTGGGAATAAATCTGAGAGGATAAATGAATCTGTCCATGGTTCCAAGTCCACAGATAAAACAAAATATTTAAAATTGTGTGTGTGTTGCTGGGAGGGGGAGAGGAGTCTTTCCCAGATCCAGCTGCTGCCCATGTTAGGTTTTACTTACTTGGAAGAGGTATCATTTCAACAGCTGAGAGATTGGTAATCTTTGACATCTGTAGCTCCACCCTGTGGTACTCATAAATTGTTCTTCTACGGACATCTACCAGGAAAGAAAAATAAAAATATTTTCACACTTTACTGTTTTGCACTCTGTAAATTGTGAAAATTAGCGGATGTAACGATTGCTCACTGACCCTTAGGTGCACATATGACACAAATTTTCCTCAAGAATATATTTTTAACTTTAGACATCATGAACGAACATGTAAAAAGCCTAGATAGAGAATTTTTCACTTGAGAAACCATCAGAGTTGACAGAACAGGTACATATTCCCCGTAAAGGATTATGAAAATGCTGACTGTGCTCTCAAGCATCTTAGTCATTCATTTAGGCAGAAATTCTAGACAGTATACTGTCAGATATTTTAGGGTATATTTCAGATGCTTGCTTTCCTAAGACATTTCTCAGCTTACAGACTTGAGAGAAATGCTTTATATGCTCACTTTGTCAGTTCTTGTCAAGATGTGCAAACAAAACTGATTTCATTGCTTAATCAAATTTGTTAGCTACAAGCTAGCTCATATCTAAATGCACTAGAACATTTTTCATATTATAACATTGTATTAAAGAAGACAAGACAAGTCTTCCTAAACAGACAATGTTATGCATAATCTTTACACAAGCTGACTGCACCTAAGTTTCTCAAGGCAGAAATTCAATATATTCAATGCACTGTTCTTATGGGCTTTGAGCACACAAATGACTGTAAGACCCAAGCACAAGATAAGTGTGAAAAAATCACAGAACTGTTAGTTTTCAGATCAATATCCTATCATATATTCTGAATATTCCAGGTTTTAAGCGCACGACTGCAATGCAGACTGGCGAGTTTGTACATTTGAAAATTAAAAGTACAGCCTATACCATCAATCTGACATAATAATGATGATTTTCTGGTGGACTGGATTCAAATTCGTGTCTTTTTTGAAGGTCTGCTAGACTAACTGAAATGAATGATCAATACAATCACTGACCCTGTGGAATCATTCCAGAGAGAAATAAGGGGTTACATGCAAAGGATTAAGAGGTTGTTCTGGTCAATGGCTGGTCTGAGTCTACATACAACAGAAGAAAAGGAATTGTAGACAGTCACAGACTCAATCTTAATCTTCTGTGTTGCCAGCCCTGTGTGGATTAGGGCACACCTTGTTGCTTGGTATAAAGGCTGTGTTTCTGCAGCCTGAAGTGGGCTCACATGGACTCCCCAGCTGTTAAGCAACCACATAGCACCAAATCTGAAGTGTCTTTCACAATCTCTTGTTAGAAGGGATGTTGGAGCCATTATGCAGACAGAAAATGGAGCCTCAGCTAAAATCATCAAGCAACAAATACTAATTTTTAAGGGAACAGAGAAAGTGCATTAAGGCATCCTGTGGCTAAGGTGTCTCTTGGTTCAAATGGATGAGGCTTTCTAAGAAAAGAGGGATGGCCAACCTCTAAAAGCACAACTGTGGGAATCCCCCTTACACCACACAGAAAATAAGCATCAAGCTACTGGTGTCAGCTGGAATAAACAGGGGAATCTCTGAGGAGGGATGGGGGGGCAGAAGCAGAGCTGTGCTGGGTGGGGTAACATCTGCATCAGCCAGGGTTGCTGCACGGCAAGCAGCTTCTCTTCCCTCTCTCTCTGCATAAGCTCTCAAGCACCGGTAGGCAGCATTTGGTTTTCAGACAATAATATTTCTATTTAGCTCCAAATCATCACCTTTGCCAAACAGTTCCTCTTGTCATTTATTTGAAGCTGACTTTGCTGTGGCTTCACCCCTCCTGAGAGCAGATTTCTCTTTCGGTATGAAATGCACCTATAATTGAGCTAGTTTTATGTTTTACCTATGAAGCCATTCTAACTAGCTAAAAGACAGATATGGGGATGTGCCAAACATTTACCCCAATAAATGCCTTAGCCATGTTCTTCAAACGCACGGGACAGAAAGGGTTTTCAAGACAAAGGTAATCTCATGATGGGGTGGGAAAAAACTCTTGCCAGCAGTGAGAGGTTTATGTTCCCAGGATGGTAAGTCCCATAAAAGCACCTGCCAAATCAGAGTGATCAGGAGATGTGTTTGAAATGAACTCCTGCCAATGCTGAAGGCTGTAATTTGTTTCCACAGAAATCTCTATCCTTCTGTCCAAAAAAATAAGCAAACCGATACATAAATTAAAATGGTGGGTGCCGGCACTTTAACTGTACTCCAATTCAGCAGTAGTGGGTACAGGTATGCTATAAGCCTGCTTACTCTGAACCTTTCCTAACAGACTCCTCACAGGGCTTACAAGAAATAAGGAGCCTCTGGTTTTCCAAAAATCCAGTAAGAATCAGTGACTCAGGTCACAGGCACTTTCACCTCAGCCAGTGTATGAAATTTCTAAAAAACGCTGATTTTAAGACAATTAAGTTTGTTATTAAAAAAATCATTTCTCATCACACATATTTCAGCATGACTGCTGATCCCATTAAATCCTGCTTCCTGGTAGACTCAGGTTTGATCTTTCCTTCCTCAGGAAGAAGATTGTGCCAACCACAGGTGGTGAGTTTGCATACAAGGGATCTATCTACTGTAAGAAACCTAAGCACAGAGAGGTATTTGCGCAGTCACCTTCCAACAGCTTTGTATATACTTGCAGGCAGATGGCTGGAAACACGGGTGTTTAAATTTATCTGCATGGCCAGGTTATAAAATAATGCAGGTGTAGATTCTTTTGAAAATCTGACTTGAAACACACCATGCTTAGCTCCTCAAAATGCACTTTTTCCTCCCTGTTTAGAATTCTGAGCCTGTTTCCCCTTAACAGAATAGGCTAGAAAAGCTAAACTCAACAGGATGAACAGAAAAATGAATACTCACCTGGCACTTCCCCCCTCAACCTCTCCACACACACTCCTGCTCCAACCCAAGACACACACCGCCTTTCACTCCGGTAGAACTTGTTCTTCTTTGACTTACATTGTCTATTTAGCTCTTTTACAAACAAGTACAAGTACAGAATCACAAAGAGCTTATGAAGCCACTTATTTCAGTATGCAACTTAACTTGACAAGAACTAGTGAAATCATTTGATGTAGTAACAGACAAAAATTTAAGCATCATGTGTAGTTATTTTACTGAAATGAGGCATTACAGAGAAGGGAGAAATGGAAAATGACCTTTTGCATCCATATATACTTTTGAAGTACCATTCCTCATTCTGAATTTCAGAAAATGTCCATATTCTTCTTCTAGTCATGAAAATATTTTACTTTTCTGTAGGTCCGAGTATCTCAATCACCCTTTTTAACCAAATGATATAATTTTTTTTTTTTTTCAATAACAGTGTCTATTTTTTTTTACATTTAGTTTCATTTACAGCACTGGTCCAAATTGTTTTTTGGTTTGTTTCTGTGGCATGTACATGTGCTATCTTTGCATACAAGGCCAAAGGTACAGTCCCAGCATAAAAAGCTGAAGAAAACACCAGTATTAACTTGAGGTAAGTACATTCCTCAGTGACCTAGAGAGATAACGTGGTGGGTCAGAAGGCCAATTGAACGAATCCTTTCCAGGGATTAAGCAATGGACTGGTAAACTACAGATGTGCAAGATTCTGGTGTGGCAAAACATTTCTATGTAGTTTTATCAGGGTAGTTTTAAACTAAATAATGGCATGTAAATATTCTATGAAACAGAATTTCCAGAGCTAACTAACTGTACTAAGTAGCGAGAGTGCTCTGGAGATGGAGTGGTGCCAGAAGAGCACCAATGATTTCCTAACACACCTGAAGAGTCAGTAGTTAGTAACAAACCATTCTAAGTAGGTGTCCAACAGGTGCACAATCTCTCTGGTACTTTCCCATCACATAATCACATTTCCTCATACAGCGTTCCTCAGCTAAAACCTGCAACCCAGTGAAATGTGAAAATATTGGAGAAGTCAGTCTATCTTTTTAAATTATATGTTCACACAAATAAAAATCTTTGTCAGTGAAAGATTTCGAGGGAATTGTGATTGGCCATATACCCAGCAAAAACTGCTAAACAAGGCCATATGTATTCATACAGCTGCACTTTCATTTTTAAGTCTAGCTGATAGAGAAAACACAAATGGTAAAGAGAGTGCATTTGATTATGCAGAAGTCAATTTGAAGCAAACAATTTATGAAACATATCCAGCTTACATTGCAAGCAATTTGTGAAAAATATAAGGCACACAGAAGGGTGGGGCACAGCTGCTGTACTATACAGCCACTGGTTTTGTTTGATAGGGACTTTGTTTAGCACCACTGGCTGAATAAAATCTTCATGCAAATATATATTTTGCCAGTCTGATATGTCTGATTGCCATCACCACAAAAGGTAAGGACATTAGAATGTCAAAGCAATCTTTGTTCTTTGTTTTTAACAGCTTCACAATGCTAAACTTATCAATATTAACTAATTCTTGAGGCACTGACACTGGGATCAAAAACGCCTGTAAACCACCATCACAATTGCTCTTGGTCATGGACTATTACACACATGTCTGGATCTAGATCAAAACTCAGATTCCCTAGTTGTATTAATTTTACTATTCTCCTAAAAGTTACAAAAAATCTCTTTAAAACCTGGGAGTTGCACCTCAAAGATGTATAATCTGTGAATAAGCAAACCAGTGAAGTAGGCTCTGAAAATACCTGCTTTATGAACAATGTATAAAAAAACGTTCTGCACCAATGCTCTGTGCCTACCACACATCATTTACTTTGAAACTCACCACGTCCTTTCATATTTACCCAAACTCTTGATGCCTGCTGAGCTGCTCTTACTACAGGACTGAGGTGTGAAAAACATGCTTTATCTCCTTAAGCCACCACGCACTGAACTGCCTAATTCTGGGAGTGCTCAGTAGCCAGTTAAGGCTTTGGCTAAAATGAGAACATTTTAAACTTTGATCACCTCATACCAGTCCCTGAAGTGCTGTTATGCCACCAAAGATTCGCAGCATGCCCATCCCTTTCCCGCACTGCTCCTGAATCGGATATGTAGTGCCAAGGGAGCCAGGTGCCTGGCTAATCCCTTGCAGGC